AGAGACAAAAATATTATAATGTATATAATATTTTTATATTATCGAAAAAAGTTGAATACATTGTCATATCTTGTTGTTATACAAAAAATATTTTTATTTAAATAAACAAAGACATGTTTAAAAAATAAAAAAATAGAAATTAATAATCTCTATTGCCTCTCGTGCTTTAAACAAATACGATACGCGAGAGCGCATTATAGTTTTTTATTCTCGCGTATTTATTTTCACATGCAACATCACCGAAATACACTATTAAAAAGCATTTTCATATTTCGTCGTGTAATAGTGCGCGAATTAATTAGCAACCCTTTCCACACAACCGATCAGCCACTGATCACGAGTCCAGTATTACGATGACCTATTTATCGGAGGGAGTGCATTAAATGGCACGCCATTACCGTGGTTTCTGTCTATCGACGCAGGTAGCAATTTTTCCATTGTCTCGCACGCCTTAGAGAAGCAACAATGGCGCGAGTTTTAATCTTACAGGAAATGCGTCCGTGGAGTTTTGACACGAGAACGTACCCAAGACTATAGGGTACCTTGCACGCGGTATCGATCATTCATCAATTACGCACATGTCGCAGCGGTTCGGCATGCATTCCATAAATGTATCGTCGGACTCTCGTCGATACGGCGAGGCAAATCTTGCCTCGAAATTTGCGAGAGCCCGCGCCCGGTTTACAGGTGTCCGTGGCGACTACGCTTCCTCATTCGATACCGAATGCTGCCGTTCTCCCCCACGCGGCGGCGTCCATCGTTACGAGTACTCTCACCCCGTTCTCAACCGACACTGGGGCTCACTTCGTTATTCGCTGATACCCACCACGTCGACGGTTCGATTCCAAATTTCCGGTTGCGAACGCGAAATAACAGTACAGCTACGGACAATACGCTCAATATTCGCGTAAGCTTGTAAAAAGATTACTTTTTTAATGCAAAATAGGATTCGCCAGAAGAGTTGCCAGTGAACTATCCTGCAATTTCAAGATTCTACGTGCAGAAATGATTTTGTCGACACCAATGACTGACGCTCGATGAATGCAAAGACTAACTGTAATACCGCAAACGACGCCGCGGTTATTTTTCGCGATAGGCTTCTCGAGCCGCAAGCACGCTGCCGCGAGATTTCCTATGTATGCTCTCTCTCTCTCTCTCTCTCTCTCTCTCTCTCTCTCTCTCTCTCTCTCGGCAAGCTTCGAGAGGGGCGCGGGTGTGCTATCGCGACTCCTGGCATCATCACGGACCTGCGTTCGCGGCCTGGCCGGCGATCGTCTTCCTCGTCTCACTACAGTCCACCACACGTTCCATCCTCCCGCGGAACAGCACCACCACCTCCGCCTCCTTCGCTGCCTCCTACTTCACCGGAGCGCAACACGGTGTTGCCTGGTATCTAGGCAACTTCGCGGAGCGTGGCTGCTCCCTCTGCCAGCAGACCGTTCCACGTAGGCAACGAATTCGCCGTTCTCTTCGCCGTTCTTGCTCGCGCGCAGCTTCAGTTTTCTTCTTTTCCTATGATTTCTGCTCTAGTCTCGTACTCTACCTCTCTCTCTCTCTCTCTCTCTCTCTCTCTCTCTCTCTCTCTCTCTCTCCCTCCCCCTCTCTATCCCTCTCTCTTTGGTGGTCTCCCCCAACCACTCTTTGACGCAAATGGGGAAAAGTACTTTCCACAAAACAGTAAATCGCGCTTCCAGTGTTTCGCGAGCGGAATAACTTTGCGATACTGTAATATGCGCA